TTAAAACTGATAAGGGGCGACTACAACCAACTAAAATGTGTTATAGCTTTGGGATATAGATGTGGCAAGCTTCTTGTTAGTATTCAAGATCCAGCCCCAAGCACAACTCCATTCGCTAACATGATCAAAGTGCTTGTGCAAACATCTGCAATTCTCTATTCATTTAGTTGAAAGTATTAATGTTTAATAAAACATATGGTGTCTAAAGAGATTTGAAAATTGGAAGAAGTAGGTTAGAGATGGGAATTTTCTCATAGAATGTAGCTTTTTGAATTTTTTTTTTTAAAAAAAACATTACATAATAGGCTAGACAGACAAAAAGAGAATCCTTTTGAAATAAAAGGGAAAAAGAGTAGAATTCCTCCTGTTGATGTTTTAAAAATTCCAGTCCTAAATTGCAAAAGACAAAGCAAAGCTCAAAACCCCTTTTATAGTTTATTAGACTATCCCTAGATTATAAAATATTATAATTTTTTTTTTTAAAGTTGATTGAAAACTTATAGAGTTGAATTATCTAGCGAACAAAACTATTTTAAAAGTGAGCTAGTCTTGAGACACAAATACCAATCTATTTTCAAGTAAAGTGTTTTGTATAGAGATGTGATACGTATTTTATAATGAGTAGAGGAAAGTGAGGGGAAAGGGTTGAAAAGAGCCTAAGGATATGCCTCAAACCGTAAAAAAAAATAAAAACAAAAATCAAGATTTTGGGATGAATTAAGATAAATAACATGAAATGAAAGATCAAAAACCTCGCCTCACAATGATTAGTCATGGAGACTTAGCCCCAGTGGTAAGTCATAAATAATTAGAGATTTTTAGTTAAAAGATTTCACAAATTTAAAATGATCTTTTGTCATATCAAAAGACTTCCTTTGACTAAAATTTAGTGTATGTCGAGTAAAAATCAAGCCAAAGAAAAATCATAAATCATTGGGGCTTCTCAGATAATAAATTTTAGAAAATTAAAAATGATCTTTTGTTATATTTAAAGACTTGATTCGACTAAGATTCAACTATATACTGACCAAATTCACACAAGAAAACAACATGGATCAGTCATATAGAACAAAAAAGGATAAAAGAGATCATATTAAAAGCAAACGGCCGGAAAAAATCCTAAACAACAAAATCAGGTGTTATTGAGCCTTAAACCATACAAATCCAAACAACAAAGTCCTAGATGGTGAAATCAACCCCATGTTAATTAGGACACACAATATCTAGAATGAACCCGCTAATCTCACATAGAAATAGATAAAACAATGGCAAAGAGAAGGGTCTAAGGACCATACCTCAAAAAAAGAAAATGATTGAGAAAGGAATTGAATTGAACAAGAAACTAAAGAGGCAATGGCTAGAAAGCAAGATACTCTTTGAAAATTATCTGAGCTTGTGTGAAAAATGACACCATAGAAGGCGCAATTTATAGGGTAAATTTGTGGGGCAGAGTTAAAGAATCCTTGTGAGTTTCTAAGGGAAGTTTCCATTGACAGAATTGAATCATTATCACATTTTCGTAAGAATAGGCAAGTATGGTAGTATTGTGTCATGGTGAGCTACTGACCAATTGGATGCCCTACACTAGAATACCCTCCGCTGACTAAGAGCCTGTGCGGTGTAGTTTGTGAGAGTTTTTGCTTTTTGAGTACTGTTATGAGTGATAAATTTGAATTTTTATTGGAGAGAAAATAGAACTTTAGCTTTTAAAAATGTGAAAAAGTAAGTAAAAAGAGAATTTATAAAAAGTTTGGATTTGAAACTTTTGAACTTTTACTGTTTAAGAATTTTTTGAAATTAAAAAAAATATTTAAAAATATAAATTTTAAAGAGGGAAATTTAAATGTATGAGACATGAATAGTATCCAAAAACTGGAACTCCTAGGAGCTGATCCAAATAAGCCCTAAGCCCTATTTCAACCTTCTCCTTTTTCCCTCACCAAACTTCTTGCTTTGATGGTTTCTCCTCTAAATATCTCGATTTGTATAGAAAGAAACACTGTCATCTCTATGAGCATCCATTTCTTTCTTTGCCTTTCAGTGCTGTTTCCCAATTCTCTGCCACTCTTTTTCCCTCCCAATTCCCTAACTTGTTCTTATCCAGTAGCCTTCAAACTCTATTTAACGTAAAACATTTTTTTTTTAATTTTTAAAATTGAATTGTTTATATAATTTTTTAAATTTTATTTCCCTCTAATTTTGTTGATTTTCCCTTACCTTTTTCCTTTTTACTGATTTCTTTGTTTGAATTTTTAAATTCTTGGAATTAAATGGTTACATTTTTAATCTTTAAAATTGAATTTTTTATATAATTTTTTAAATTTTATTTCCCTCTAATTTTGTTGATTTTCCCTTACCTTTTTCCTTTTTACTGATTTCTTTGTGTTAATATTTATACACACATTCTTATATATTTTTCTAAACTAAAAGGAAAACAAAGTTTGTCATCTTCTTAGTTTTCTTTTTTTCCTTTTTTTGTTTATATTAAAAAATATATAAATGGCCAATCTGGCTGTTATGCCTTTTAGCAAGAGTCTTGATGCTTATCTCGTTCAACTTTAGAAAATTTAGTTTTTAATTTAGGATATTTAAATTTAGTTGTCTATTTATCTTTTTTAGAATGTCATTCAATACATTTATTATTATTTTAAAAAAATTATGTCAATATATACTCTCTCCAGCTGGATTTAATTATCTTAATTTGATTTTTAGATAGAGTTTTAACATGATGATTTTATATAGTGAATGAATGATAATTAAAAAAAAATTTATCTAAGAAAAAATACTCAATAAGTACCATGTATAGAAAGAAAATTTTTTTTAATTATCATCTATTTACTATATAAATCATCCAGTCAAACTTTATATAAAAATCAACTTGTGGCAACTAAATCCTATTGGAGGGAGTATTAAATAAGAAGTCTAGTGATATTTAATTAAAGATAAATATAAAATTTTATCAATAAATTATTGTTTCATTATTTTATTGAACAAGAAAAACTAAATTTATTAAAGTTGAATAGAGAGAGTAAGTTTCTACTAACGATCATTATAATCATTTTTCATTCAATTGATTTGGTTGTATTTATCTATTATTTTCATAGGTTGGTCTAATTAATATGCAATGATTAAATACTAACTAATAATATTCAGTTAATCGTAATAAACAATATTTGATAGTGTTTCTTCTTTTCGTCAATCTTTGCATTCAAATTCATGATTTTAATTAATCATTATAACGGGTATTTCAGTGATCAACTTATTGTATATG